ACATATACATCATATACACATACACATACATATACATATACATCATATACATATACATATACATCATATACATATATGTATATGTATACATATACATATACCGGGTAAATCTTGTAACTTCCTGAACTCCCTAAGCCTGTTAAGTTGCATGAGCTTCTCTCCTCCTTCCAGGATGGATGTTTCAATTCCCAAGAATTAACTATCCAACAGTTGATTACAATGCCTTGTCTCCTGCACAGAGTCTAGTTCCCCATCTCTGTCTCCCTCTCTTCCCTCCCTCCTCTTCTCTCTCTTCTCCCTCTCTGAGACAGGCTGGACTTTCTCTGCAGCCCCCAGCTAGCTGCAGCATGGATCATTGTGGCACAAATGTTCTCAATCACACTGATAAGGTGGCCGGCTGCAGCACAGGATAAGGGTGCAGGATGCCCACACTAGAGGTGAACACAGGCCTGCCTGGGTCTTGTGTCATGTTCTGAGTACCTGGGGCAGAGCTTCAAGGCCAATGTGTGTGAGCCCGTGTTGGGTGAGGCCAGAAAGTCAAGAGAAGAATGTCTTCCCTCCCCTTCCCATTCCTTCTTCCTTACTTCCCTCCCCTTTTCCCCACCTCCAGTTCCCTCCCAACCAGCTGGAAATGTGCAATGTGGCCATCCAATCTAATTAGTTAAACCCTCAGTTCTCACAGAAGGAGGCTTCAAGAAAAAAAAAAAGCCTAGTTTCCTTGGCTCTCAGCCTCTTAAAAGATAATGAAGAAGATCTGAGTCCCAGCGCCTTGATCTTCACTGCTGGAGGCAACCAACTCCGAGTTGAAGCCCCTTAGATGTCCACACCGAGCAGAATGGCAAAACCGTGAGTTTTTGCCATGCCAAAATGTCCACACCGAGCAGAATGGCAAAACACACTGACTGAGTTCTCTCGGGGCTCTCACCAGGGGACCTCAGCCACAACTGCCCACTGAGTCCCTGCCAGGCAGATCAGGGAGTCAGAACCAGAAGGGTCAACCTTCCCACCTCTCAGGCAAGTGTCTGCCCCAGCAACATCTGTCATGGTGCCTCTGCTAGTCCAACACAGTTGCTGGGTCCCTGTTTCAGGGCCCTCAGAGACACCCTCCACCCATCCATCTGCCCTTGATATCCCTTGAGCAAGTGTGCAGGATCCTGGCGATGCAGACAAGACAGGTCAGAGGATATAACAACAGGAAGGACAAAGGTGGAGCCATTAGGGGTAGCCACCAGGGTTATGGGTGGGGGTGGGGTGCTTGACGACACAGATTCACTAAACAAGTGCTGCCCCCTCAGACTGAATTACCGGTTGTGAAAAGCCCACAGGGGTATATTCTAGGAGGGAGAAGAGCCATTGAAATGACACAGCAGGGCCAGCCAGCTTCCCCTGGCCACTGGTAATCAGATTCTATCATGTGTAGACTATTAAACCAGACAACTCATCCAAATAGTGGCACTGGCTAAGTTTATCTCCTGAGGCTGCTGTCTACTCCTTGATGGCCACTGACGCTGTCCTGTCCTGCTCCAGCCCTGGAAATGGCAGGAGATCTGACTGAGGGGAACAGAACACCTACAGCCCACAGAGGCAGCTGCCTCAACCCTGCCACCCACCTGATCTGGGACTAAAGCAAGTTGACAACGCTGAGGGACAGCCAGGCTTGAGTGGATCAAGGACACAGATTGCAGCCCTAAAAGGAATTCTGTCATCCCCCATGGTAAGGGAGAGAAAAAGATGCCTGTGAGACCTCACTAACCCTTGCCATCCAAGCCAGGGTCAGAACCTTGTCACAACTCGCTCAGAGCACTGGAACATAAAGAGCACGCCTCTGTTGCCCTCACTTGTGCACATGCAAATATGTACAAATACCCTCCCCCAGCCTTTAACCCATGGGGCAAGCATTTTACACACTGGCATCTGGAAGCATAGTACCCTACAGGTCATTTTATCCTTTCACCTGCCATTCATATGACCATGAGATGGCAGAGCCTAGAGCCCAAAGTTAAGCTTCACATTGGTGGGGCTAACTTTTCAAAATGTGTAATGTAGCTTTAAGCCAAATTGTCCTTTTCCTACTTGAAAGCTTTTTTTTTTCCTATAACAGGGGTCAGTGATCAAGCCACATGCAAATTCCCAATGGAAAGTGTATGACTCAAAGTGAACCAAAGTGCAAATATTTGTCTTAAGTTATTTCATAACAAACAAGTTACAACCCCCCCATCCTATTTCTTCCTCTAAGAAAAAAATTATCTGAGAAAAATTATGAAACATCAGATATTAAGATCAAATTACAAAATGATAACCAGATTAATTTATTTTGTAGCCTTTAGATTACTAAAGCACACAATGATATTAAGAAATTGGTGTGGCTTTTATTTTTCCAGTTATAGGGATAAATTCTGGGCCTGAAATATGTTGGTTAGGTAAGTGCTCCATCACCGAGCTCCATCCACAGACCAAGAAATCAAGTTGGGGGTGGGGTCTTCCCACATTTTACAGAGCTGATCACACGAGTTTTCTAATGTTTAATTTCTTCCACTATATTCCAAAAGAGGTTTTTGTTCCTATTTCCTATCTCATGCCATCGAAATCCGACCTCTGAAAATTAACATGGACACAGACCATGCCTTCCCATCATGCTGGCATTGCCGGTTATGCTTAGGACCAACTTCAATTGTGACAGATGCTCACTCGCCCTCTGGCTTAAAATAGCTGTCATGGATGTCAGGCCAGGCAAATGCTCTCTGCCAGCTTAATAGCCCATTAGGCGACTTCATGAAAGAGGCAAATGAATCCGTCACCAAAGGGGAGCATCAACTTCACCCACTACCATGGGCTAGAGACCTTGCTTGTATCAATTGTCGAAATGGCTTTGATTTGTTAAAAATAGAAGTCAGCACACTGCTTGGCTACAGAAGCTGCCTGCTAGATTTTTTTCAGAGCCCAACAGCACTACAGTTGGAGAATGAGCACCCTGGAGACACACAGAGCTCAAAGAGGACCCCCACAAAGCTCTCTCTCTCTCTCTCTCTTGGATGATGCCATGTGGCATACTTCCAAGGATGGCATGATGGAAAATCTCTTGCAACTCTAGACTCTACCCTGGCCACAGCCAATAGAGTTCACCAGGCTTCCCTTGAAGTATCTGCAATTTACACTGAAATCACTCTCCTTCTGGCTGAAAAAAAAAAAACAAAACCACAAACTCTTTTAATTGCTCAAAGCAATTCTACTATGTTGTAATTATCACATTGCCTTGTAATTATTTGCTTTGTGAGTGTCTCTCTCCAACCCCACCCTTCCCCACCCCCAGACTCTAGCTCCTTAAAAGAGCTCCCCACGGCCTTGATATCCAGTACATGGCTGGTATGTAGAGAAACTCGGGAACTTCAGACAGACGAGTCCATTTGAATTGGAAATGTCAGTAATTTTTCCCTCTTAGATTCTGAATCTTATTATGAATCCCAGAATCTATTATACTTGTATGGCTAATCAACAAGACTTATGCACCTTGAACATCCCTTCAAGTGACTATACTAGACTGGCGTATTGTGAGAAATCAGAAATTATCACCATATATTTCTATATTTGGCATCTTCCATGCCTACGATCCAAAAGAAATTAATAACCCTGGTTACTAGAGTCTCTAAGGCCAATCTCACATTGAAATTAAATATGTATGTGATATACTTAACTCAATGGCTAGCACATGGGAACACTCTTTGAACATTAGCTCTCTGTCCCTGCATACTACTTAGGGCCTCTAAAGTGACAGCCCTATGGCTTGCAGGGCCATCTCCTGGCACCTGCTCTGTCATTGCAGACCAGGGGCACTGAGGGGCCATCATCTGGACACCCATTTTTGTGTGCCCCCCGCCCCCCCACTGAAACCAGTGAATGTTATGTTTTAATTTTACTTCTTAATTTTACTCTGCATTCCCCACTCCAAGCTGTGGAGGCCTAAAATCAAGCCCCAAAGTCTACTACACCCTGTGGGCTCCATGAATGCTATGATAACCAGGCAAGAAGATAACAATGAAGAAGAATGCTCTAGCCTAAAGAACTGTCTTCTTCAGAGTCCATCAAGTAAGGGAGTCTAGCTATCGGGGGCAGGGCGGGGGGGGGGGGAGATAAAGAAATGCTCATGTTTATGCAACTATAAACTGAGCCTAGTCCTTTGGATGTTGGGTGGAAAAAATGATGTAGAAAACAACACCTGGCAAACCCAATAGACGTGCATCATGCTTCTTCACAGGATGGATAGATCAACATGAAGAATGGGGCCAGCAGTGAGTGAGAGCTCTCTTGCCACAGACAGGCAGTGGATTCCCATGGAGAAGAAGTGTAAAAATAGCTAACCATCTCTGCTTGCTCATTAAGTCACTCTCTCATCATAATGCAAGTCTCTAAGGATCCCTGGACTAGAAATTCTCAAACCAATGGGCATAGATATTTGGCCCTCTGCTGAGTGATCACACATAAGCCAGCTGCTATCATTTGAAGGCACCCAGAAGCTTTAAGCAGAGCCAGCCCTCCTGCTTAATGACCTGCATCTAGGTAGAGATCCCCTAGGTACAGCCTGAACCCATAAGCAAACCTCACCCTTTACAAATAACAACACAGGGGACTAGCAGGTTGCCACAATAGTATTACAAGCAACTTGGAGATGCGCTGGAGTTAAGTCCCAAAAGCAGATCCCATGGGGTAGGTAAAATTTCAGATGCCTACCATAAGAATGAATTAAGATCACTGTCTAACCGATAATGGCTTGAGTTTTGTTTGGTTGGTTTGGTCTTTTTTAAATCTAAAACAAACTCCATGAATCTACAATGCAATCAGAACCAACTTAGGCAATTCTGCCCCACAGATGTGGTCATCATAGATAGTAGATCCAGTGTTCTGAGACCATCCATGGAACGCAGAAGGTTGTCCAGTCCCCTCCCCAAAGCCCTCCAAGTGACATCACAGCACAGTCACAGCCAAAGAGATGCAGTTGCACTTACGTAGGGCATGCCACTCATCCTGACGAATGGTCTTCGTGATGTTGAATGTGAGGTTCCTGGGGATGGTTGCTGAGGAGTAGTGGTACTTGATGTACGTGCATCTCTCAATTTCTCCTAGAAGAAAGAAATAGAAAACCAAGTGTGAATGAGGCAGTAACCACCTCTTCTGAATTCTGGGGATCCTCACATCCATCCTGAAGAAAGAGACATGTTTCATGTTGAGCCTGATGATAGCTACAGTTTATACTGGGCAATAAGCTTGACTCAAAAAGAACAAGAAAGTAAAACTACAGTCAGATTGCACTGCCTTAAATAGGAAAATACATCTCTAGGGTCATGCATAGAGTGAAAGAATCAAAATTGGGACTACTAGAAGCTTTTTTAAAAAGTGGTGCCCACATTTGCCTCATCTTAAGAAAACCAACTTTCAAAGTTTAAAAAGGTTGATTATACCTGAGGAACAATATTTACCAACAACACTGAGGGTGTCCTCTTGCCTACCTATGCACATTAACACACAACTACACACACACGCACGCACGCACGCACGCACGCACGCACGCACGCACACATGTATATACCACCTTCAAGTTAAAAGATGAATTTGCTCTTTACAGGCCTTGAAAGAACAATATTCAACTTCATATGGAAAAACAAAAAACCCAGGGTAGCTAAAACAATCCTGTATAATAAAGGAACTTCTGGAGGTATCACCATCTCTGAGTTCAAACTCTACTACAGAGCTATAGTAATAAAAAAAAAAGCCTCATATTGGCATAAAACAGACAGGTGGATCAATGGAATCAAATTAAAGACCCTGACATAAATCTACACACCTATGAACACCTGATTTTTGACAAAGAAGCCAAAATTATACAATGGGGAACAAAAGCATCTTCAACAATGGTGCTGGCATAACTGAATGTTGGCAATGTAGAAGAATGCAAATAGATCCATATCTATCACTATGCACAAAACTCAAGTCCAAGTAGATCAAAGACCTCAACATAAATCCAGTTACACTGGACCTGATAGAATAAAAAAGGGGAAATAACCTTGAATGTGTTGGCACAGGAAACAACTTCCTGAATAGAACATCAATATCACAGACAATGAGAGCAACAATTAATAAATGGGACCTTCTGAAACTGAAAAGCTTCTGTAAGGTAGGGGACACTGTCAATAAGACAAAACACCAGCCTACAGAATGGAAAAAAGGTCTTCACCAACCCCACATCTGACAGAGGGCTGATCTTCAAAATATATAAAGAAGTCAAGAAACTAGATATAAAAAAAAACAAATAATCCAATTTAAAAATGGGGTACAAACCTAAACAGAAAATTCTTAACAGAAGAATCTCAAATGGCTGAGAAACACTTAAAGAAATGTTCATCATTCTTAGCCATCTGGGAAATGTAAATCAAAATGACTCTGAGAGTCCAACTTACATCAGAATGGCTAAGTGACAGCTTATGCTGGAGAGGATATGGAACAAGGGGAACACTCCTCCACTGCTGGTGGGAGTGCAAACTTGTACCACCACTTTTGGAAATTGATATGGTGGTTTCTCGGAAAATTGGGAATTAATCTATTTCAAGACCCAGCTATACCACTCTTGGGCGTATACCTAAAGGATGCTCAATCATACCATAAGGACACTTGCTCAACTATGTTCATAGCAGCATTATTCATAATAGCCAGAACCTGGAAACAACCTAGATGCCCCTCAACTGAAGAATGGGTAAAGAAAATGTGGTACATTTTCACAATGGAGTATTACTCAGCTATTGAAAACAATGACATCCAGAAATTTGAAGGTAAATTGATGGAACTAGAAAAAAAATCAGCTTGAGTGAAGTAACCCAGACCCAGGAAGACAAACATGGTATGTACTCAGTCATAAGTGAATAGTAGCTGTAAAATAAAGAATATCTCAGAAAGGGTAAGTAACAAGGAGGGCCCAAAGGGGGATGCATGGATTTCCCTGGGAAGGGGAAATAGAGGAGATCTCTTGAGTAGATTTGGGCCAGGTGGGGATGGGAACATGAGGGATCAGGTTGAGGGGTGGATGGAGGAAGAGAGTAATGAAAGAAATGTCTTGATATGAGGTGGGGGTTGGCATTTCAGGGTTAGATAGAAACCTAATACAAGGTGTGGTGATATTGTGTCCCCCAAAATATTGTGCACCCTAATAAATTTATCTGGGGTCAGAGAATAGAACAGCCACTAGATATAGAGGCCATAAAATGGTGGCACACACAGCTTTAATCCTAGCATTCCAAAGGCAGAGATCCATCCGGATCTCTGTGAGTTCAAAGCCACACTGGAAACAGCCAGGCATGGTGGCACACACCTTTAATCCCAGGAAGTGATGAAAGGAAACAGAAAGGTATATAAGGTGTGGGGACCAGGAACTAGGTCGGTTAAGCTTTTAGGTTTTTGAGCAGCAGTTCAGCTGAGATCAATTCTGGATGAAGACTCAGAGGCTTCCAGTTTGAGGAAACAGGATCAGCTGAGAAGTTAGCCAGGTGAGGTTATCTGTGGCCTGTTTTGTCTCTCTGATCTTCCAGTGTTCACCCCAATATCTGGCTCTGGGTTTGTTTTTATTAATAAGACTTTTTAAGCTTCATGCCACAACAAGGACCTCCCACGAATCTACAAGTATGACCCCAGCTAGCAATAGTGGATAGGTGGCCCAAACTAGCCATCTCCTGTAATCAGATTGGTGACTACCCCAATTGTCAACAGAGAGCCTTCATCCAGTGACTGATGGAAGTGGATGCCGAGATCTACAGTCAAGCACTGGGCCAAACCCGGGGAATCCTTTAGAAGAGAGGGAAGAAGGATTGTCCAAGCCAGGAGAGTTAGGATCATCACAAGGGAACTCATAGAAGCAACTAGTTAGCTCATGGGAGCTCACAGACTATGGACAGATGGCTAGGGAGCCTGCCTGCATGGGCCTAGCCTAGGCCCGCTGCATATGTGTGATGGTTGTGTGGCTTGGTCTACTAGTGAGGCTCCTGGCAGTGGGAGCGGGGCCTGTCCCTAATGCTTTGGCTGGCTCTTGGGAACCTATTCCTCATACTGGTTTGCCTTGCCCAGTCTTAATACAAGGGGAGGTGCTTAGTCCTACCTCAACTTGATATGCCATGCTTTGTTGGCACCTGTGGGAGGCCTGCCCCTTTCTGAACAGAGGTGGAGGAGGGGTATATTGGGGAGGGGGGGCAAAAGGGTGGTGGGAGAGGGGAGGGAAGGAGGGCAGAGAGGAAGCTGCAGTCGGGATGTAAAATAAATTTTAAAAATTTAATTAAGAAAAAAAAGAATTTGCAACCAAATAAATTTAAGTTTCCACACAGGCCAGAGAGCTTACTACAGCCCTAATGATACTGTGTATACTTTCAGCACCCAGTCTTCTAGAATGTGATAAGGATGGAAGGCTATCTTCCCTTTTTTTCCCATCCTCCTAACTTCATTTCTGAACACATGGTTTTCAAATCAACCAGGTTTTCTTTGGACCATTCTCTTCTCAGTTTCTTGAACTAAAGAACATTACGACCCTGGCCTCACTACCTGGTCCAGCATACTCCCTAAATGCATTCCAAATATTGTCCTTATTCCCACAGATAAGTGTAGTCCTTGCCCCGATCAAGTAAACTTCTCTTTGAAACAGAGGCCATTATAGAAAACTACAATCGATCAAAGTGCCGATTTGTAGATCCCAGTCCAAATAGATACATCTATAAAACATCTCCACATCTAAGGCTCAGGGAATATTGGTGAAGAGGAGGAAGAAATATCGTCAGAGCCAAAGGACCAGGACTCTCATGCTGTGAGACCATGTCTCCTAGTAATGTCAGAAGCTACACCCATATCGTTTCACCAACATGACTGCCTAAACATGAGCTGAATGAACAAGGACAACAACAGATACACAAAAATGGATGGGGGAAAGACCACAAAGTCTCAACCTACACAAAGAACTATAGACAACTAAGGTGTGCTAAGCATGGGAGAAATAGTCTCACCCATGGAAGAGCACATGAATTAACTATCCCATACCAAATGGTTGGCCCTAAACATGCACACAAATAGCATTATACAGACTGAGCAGTTATATTTAGGAATACATATGTATATACATGCATGCATGTAACAACAATTAATGAGACAAGAGATCATGATTTTAAAAAGAGTAAAGAAGGATATATGAAAGAGTTGGGAGGAAGGGAAGGCAAGGGGGAAATGATGTAATTATAATCTCAAAAAAGAAAAGAAAAATTTTAAAGTCACTATTAATCAGCTTACTATATAGTCAAGTTGCCAAACTGTTCCTACATCTTAGGGCAGAGATCCATAGAGGTCGCCCCAGGAGCATGAGCATCCCATAGGAACTTGTTATAAAGGGATCTTACACCTAACCCAGGATACACAGAAACTCCAAGCTAGAATCTGGCTAAAACACTAAAGCCTTCCAGGTGGTTCTTGTCTAAGTGTGAGGACTGCTTTTTTAGAATCTAACAGAATTTCTAAGGCATTAATTCAAGAACCCACCACACTTGCAAGTTCCCGAAGGGAGGCTCGAGAGGATGGCTTTGCTCCTCACTTCCAACCTCCTGAGGTTTCTATTGATGTTTGCTTATCTGGGGGATATTAAAAACTTAGTGTCGGAGCATTGTGAAGAATCAGGAAGGGGGTGGTTTTTCAAGGTTAGGGGTTTTGAAATTTGGTTTTTCACCTGAATGGATTTTGATGGTAATCCATTTTGCACCCCACTGATTTTCAATTTATAACTGGTGGCACCTGATTGAATTGTTTGACCCCCTGGCCCCCTGTCAGCAGGGAACCTGGCAATTGGTGGAGTACAATAATTTACAGAAAGCCTTGTGAAACTGATGCCTTCTTGTAAATCATATTTGGACAACTGCCCAGTTGCCAGTTATTGTTGGACATCCCTCTAACAGGACAGCCTCTATCTGGAGACAAAGTTCTGGAGACCGCTATACACTCTTTCCCTGTATCTTCAGTTTTCAGGCCCTCTACCTCTGCTCAACCTACAAAGCCCCTGTGGCTTTTCACATGCCCTGGTATTCCTCACCACCTCCCCAACACACCT